GCCGCCTAGGCCGCAGCTACATTTTCATCATTTTCGTGAGGAAGCCTCAGGTAAAACGATGTGATCCAGATCCGGTTGTTTTGTTGTAATCCGTTTTCCCTTGCAAAAAACACTATAAAATGACATTTCTTGTTCTAATATAATCAAATTTCAAGAATCCCTTGCAAAAAATAAGGTAAAGTGGACATTCGCGCGCGCAAGACGAAATCCTTCCAAAACCTTAGTGTTCGGAGCGATTTTAACATAAAAACATCAAAAAACCAATGGTTTTTCAACAAAAAAATGTCAAAATCTCATCCCGCGCGCTCTTGCGGATTCGTAGGAAACCCAACACTTTTTAAACATTTCTGTCAAACGGGCTTTTGCGAGCAACTTTTTCGAACTTCTGCGACAACGGTTGCGCACCTGCCAGGGCCATCATCCCTGTCAAATAATACCATGCGGGACACATTCGTTTTTTCTTCGCGCGCGCACGCCGTCGTCGTCGGCCGCGGGGCCCTGAATAGTAGCCACGGTCGTCCGCATGCCACGAAGTGAAGTGTCCGAACGTCATAGGGCGGGAAGCTGGGTGTGGGTGGTGGCGAAGAGTCGTTTGGAAATTTGGTAGAGCTTGAACCGGCCCCCCCACAAAGTGGGGGTATTGCCCGCCTCCTATGAAAACCCTGGCACTGGTGAGAACGGAGTGTCCCCAGTCTTAAATGATTGTTGTTGTTGTTGTTGTTGTTGTTGTTGTTGTTGTTGTTGTTGTTGTTGTTTTTGTTTGTTTCGTGTGTTAGTTCTTTCTTTATGTATTTCTTTCTTTCTTTTTCTCTCTCTCTCTCTCTCTCTCTTTCTCTCTCCCTCACTCCCTCTCCCTCTCCCTGCGCGCGCGCATCGCCGAAAGGGAGCAGGGAGGGGGGGCTGACCGCCCTCTCTCACTCTGCGCAGGCAGGACAGCGGGGCACATTTGGGGGCAGCGGCTGCGATCTTTCACGCTCGCAACACGCCGTGCAATGCAGCGAGGCGTGGGAGGGATTGTTGCGCCTCCCCCTTTTTCTCTTTCTTTCTCGTTCTCTCTCTCTCTCTCTCTCTCCCTCTTTCTCTTTCTCTTTCTCTCTCATTCTCTCTCTCTTTCTCGCAAGCTCTGTACATTCACATGTATTACAATGTATACATGTATATATATATATATATGTGTATGTATGTATGTGTGTATGCATAAATATATCGTTACAGTTTGCGCGCGCGGTGCAGAAGAGGCGGCCTGCGGGGGGTCAACTAGTGGAATGCCCCTGGAGCGGAGGGCCCACCCGTGGGCCATATCTGGAGCGGCTGGTCCATCAGTGGACATTCCTTGGCGCGGCTGGTCCACCAGTGGTCAACCACCCCCTGGGAGTGGAGAGTCCACGGGTAGACCTACCAGTGGATCACCCCAGGAGTGGAGGGCCCACCTGTGGACCACCGTCGGGTGCGAGTCCACCAGTGACCCCCCCCCTGGAGCGCAGGGTCGGGGGCAGCCAATGGACCTCCCCTGAAGTGGAGGATCCGATCCACCAGTAGACCGCCCTTGGAGTGGAGGGCCCACCAGTGGAAATCCCATGGAGGGCTGGTTTACCAGATGACCTCCCGTGGAGAGGCGGGCTCATCTGTGGACCATCCCTGGAACGGCTGGTCCACTAGTGGACCTTCCTTGGCGCGGCTGCCCCACTCGTGTGCCTTCCCTGGTGTGGCGGGTCCACCAGTAGGCAGCCGCCCCAGGAGTAAGAGCCCACCAGTGGGCTTCCTTTGAAGTGGAGAGACAACCAGTGGACCACCCCTGGAGTGGGAGTCCACCGGTGGACATCCCCTGGGGTGAAGGATCGGGGGAAGCCAATTAGCCGCCCCCCCTGAAGTGGAGGATCCACCTGTGGACCGCCCTTGGAGTCTTTGGAGCGGCTGGTCCACCAGTGGACATCCCTTGGCGCGGCTGGTCCACTACTGCGCAGGTGTTCTCCCATGCTCTCAACGCACAATGCAGATGGGGAAGCTAGGAGGGGACAGCTGATGCCCTCTCACATTCACCCAAGGGCCCAAGGGGTCGGGGCAACGGGTGCTCTCTCGCCTTCTCCACGCACAACGCTGGGTGGGCAACGGAAATGAGCGGCGGTAGCTCCTCGCGCCCTCCACGCTCCCCGGCGCCCCCCATCCAGGAACCGGATAAGTCCAGCGCGCGCGGCGCGCCCCCCCCCCCCAAAGAAAACGCACGGCGCTGAGGCGAGAGTCCCAGTTTGGAAAACATGTGCACGGCGCCAGAGCGGCAACCCAGAATCACCGCATTTTCAAGGTTCGTGGAGGAGGAGGAGGAGGAGGAGGAGGAGGAGGAGGAGGAGGAGGACGTGGAGGAGCAGGTGCGCCGATTTCACCAAGTTTCAAGAATCGCCCCGGACAGCCTATATCAAGCAAGCCAGTACCGTCTAGGCCATCCTACTAGGACAGCAGAAATCCCCAACCGATACCGCCAGCTACATCAAAAGGGCGACTACACCAGCTGAGCACGTATTATTTCAGTCTCTTTCGCCAGCCTGAATGATATTGGGGCGGGGGGGAGGGAGAGCGACGACCAGCACGCCCCTGACCGCTACCCCCGTGACCGCTACCTAGAGTACGCATCGTGCCCAGGTCAGAGAGTACCGCCTGCGCCAATTTGCACGACAGCGCCTACTCTAAGTTTCAGCGTGCACCTATTCCACTGATGGGTGTTGCTCGCTGCCATTTTGTCTCGAAAGTTGGGGGCGAGCCCGACGGGCCGACCCCACCATGGACGATTTATCATAGCACCCTTTTGTATTTACAGTTTTCGCCCAGACCGACTATCGTTACCATCGTTGTTTCTCCCCCCTTAAGCGATCCTGTGGTGTTGGGTCTTCGTTTTGAAGAGACAGCGCCCCGCGTTCTCCTCTCCTCTCCTCCTCCTTCTCCTCCTTCTCGTCCTTTTCCTTCTCCTCCTCTTCATCCCCCTCCTCTTCCTCCTCCTCGTCCTCCTACTCCTCCTCCTCCTCCTCCTCCTCCCTCCCATCACCATCACCAACATCATTGCCGTCATCACCACCCATTTTGGCACATTTCGTGACCACATATGGAGCCCCACCCAAGGCTGCAGCGGCGACGTTCCCATGAGTCTCCCCCACCAATTTTGGCACACCCCTCGCACGGTTCGCGGCCCCACAGCGAGCTCCGCCTAAGGCTCCAGAGGCGACGGTCCCATGCGTCCCCGCTGCCCATTTTGCCACACCCCTCGCACGTTTCGTGGCCCCATAGGGAGCTTCACCGAAGGCTCCAGCGGCGACGTTCCCATGCGTCCCCGCCACCAATTTTCGCACACCCCTCACACGGTTCGTGGCCCCATAAAAGGGTGTTCCATTCAAGGTTCCAGTGGCAGCGTTCCCATACGTCCCCGTCTACCATTTTGGCACACCCTTCACACGGTTCGTGTGACCCCATAGGGAGCTCCACCGAAGGCTCCAGCGGCAACGTTCCCTTGCGCCCCCGCCACTCATTTTTGGCGCGACCCCCACACGATTCGTGGCCCCACGAGGGCGCGCCACTGAGGACGACATCCACAATTGCGGTACTCACATTTGCGAATAGTGGGGTCCTTCACCAGGCCAAGTTTTTTTGTTGTATGCCTTACGGCACGTTCGTTTTTTCTTCACGGCATTCTCGACTAATTTTGGGCGGGTGGTGCGATTGATGGGGTGGTTTTGGAGATGTTGGCCATGAGTTGCTTCTGCGTGGTATATCACTGCTCATCTGCCTGCCATTGTGCACGCGTATTTCGGCCTCTCTATTTTTTGGTGCTTCCTCCTTACGATTAGTTGGTTTGTTTCTTTCGTTTCGGTCCCCCTTCCCATCTCCGGTATCTCCTACATCGCGCTGCTGGCGTATGCTCCAAGCTTTCCGGCCTCTTGCTCAGCCTGTATCTCTTGCCTGGTTATCAATATTTTACGCTGGCCTCGCTAGTTCGTTACCAGAAGTTCAAAGTCGGTTTGTCACAGTCCTTTTGTTTGTGCTGCAAGAGCGCTAAAATCGGATGATTCAAGTTGGCGCAACGTCAAAAAGGAGGAGGGGTGATGATGGGGAGGAGGACGATGTATTGTGTATTGCTAGCTGCGCTTAGTGGGGTCGTGTGCTGCCAGCCAAGCGCGGCGAGGACGGCATCGGCCTCAGGACGACCTTCGCAGGTCTCCGCGCTGGAGCTCTGTGGAGGGTCCCTGGCGGCCTCCGTGCATATTCCCTGAAGGCCTCTGGGGCCAACACCTTATTATTCGTATCCCGCTGGGGATCGTACAAGGCGGGGCATCCCAAGGTGGGGTTAGGGAACGCGCCCAGCTGGATATTCACACTTCCTTCTTACAGGGGCCATGTTGAGCGATGTTTCTTTTAATCCACCTCTGCCACACCTCCAGGTTTACGTTATTCCGATTCTCACAGAAGAGCCTCACGATGACCTTGAGACGGTCCACACTTGCCCTGAGGCGACCTCGAGAGAAATCATGAAATAGCGTCGTGTCCTGGTTCGACAGCATGGTGCGCACGTGAAACAACTCTTCGCCTGGTAGCCGCTTTTGGCCAGATTGGACCCTGTTTTGGGCCCGAGCCTGGGGGAGGGGACCGCAAGGAGGAGCGAGGGGTGGGGGGAGGAGAAGTTGGAGAGGGGAGTGGGGAAGGGATGTAGTACCTGGGAGGGGATGGGTATTGGCGGCGTAATTCGTAATCTTTCATACGCACAGGCTTGAATGCGTAAGTAGGATTTGGGGCATGTTCCTGCCCTGGTGGAGCAACAGTTGCCGATGGGCCCCCCTTGACTGTGGATGCACCTCTTTTTCCTCCTCCTCTTCCTGCCTCTTCCCCTCTTCTTCCTCCTCCGGCTCCTTCTCCCTCTGCATTTCTTCTCCTTGTCTTCTCCTTCATCCTCCTGGTCCTCCTGTTTAAACCTCTGCTCTCCTCCTCCCCCTCCCCCCCTGCGGGACCCTGCTCCTCAGGCCTCTTCGCCTGGCTCTCCACATCGTCGAGCACCGGCAAGATCAATCCCCCAGAGCTCAAGACGCCGGAGGACGCGAGTGGTGCCGTCTGCTCAGACGTGCGTGGGGAATAGGGTGCGGAGGATTTGAGCATGAGTATGAGGATGAGGAAGAGAAACTGATGATAATGATGATGCTGATGCTGATGCTGACGATGATGATGATGATGATGATGATGATGATGATGATGATGATGATGATGGTGATGGTGATGATGGTGATGGTGATGGTGATGGTGATGATGATGATGAGGGTGATGGTGATGGCGATGGTGATGGTGATGGTTGTGGTGATGATGATGCTGATTATGATGGTGATGATGATGCTAATGTTGATTCTGATGCTGATGCTGATGATGATGATGATGATGATGAGGATGGTAGTGGTGGTGCACGAAGAAGATGGTGATGCTGCTGCTGATTAGGATGGGGAGGAGGAGGAGGAGGAGCAGATGTTGAACATGATGCTGATGCTGATGGTGATGATGATGATCATGATGATGATTGAGGTGGTTGTGCTGGTGATAGTGATATTGATGGTGATGATGTTGACGGTGGTGTCGCTGATTATGACGACGATGATGTTTTAGCTGATGCTGATGACGATGATGCTGCTGATACTGATGCTGATGTTGATGGTGATGATGACGATGCCGATGCTGATGTTGATGGTGATGATTACGATGATGATGAAGGTGATACTATTGATAATGCTGATGATGCTGATGAGGGTGTTGATAATGTTGATCGTGATGGTGATGGTCATGATGATGGTGATGATGATGCTTTAGCTGATGATTGATGATGAGGATGCTGATGATACTGTTGTTGATGATGATGGCGATGGTGATGATGCTGATGCTTATGATGCTGATGCTGATGATGATGCTGATTATGATGATGCTGATGCTGCTGATGACGATACTGATGATGATGATGATGATAATGCTTAGTATGCTGGTGATGCAAATGCTGACGACGATTATGATGATGATTTTGCTGATGATGATGCTGATGATGATGATGATGATGATGTTGATGATGATGATGATGCTGATGCTGATGCTGATGCTGATGATGATGCTGATTATGATGATGCTGATGCTGCTGATGACGATACTGATGATGATGATGATGATGATGATGATGATGATGATGATAATGCTTAGTATGCTGGTGATGCTGATGCTGACGACGATTATGATGATGATTATGCTGATGATGATGCTGATGATGATGATGATGTTGATGATGATGATGATGATGATGATCATCATGATGCTGATGCTGCTGATGATGATGATGAGGATGAGGATGAGGATGAGGATGAGGATGAGGATGAGGATGAGGATGATGATGATGATGATGATGATGATGATGATGATGATGATGATGATGATGATGATGATGATGCTGATGATGATGATGATGATGATGATGATGCTGATGATGAGACTTGTCCTGCGAACGTGTAGGGGGTGCAGCACAGATTCCGTTCTATTTCGCTCAAGATTTTTCCCGTTCAGGAAGCCACTGTATGTTGGCCCACCCTCGTCCCCGCCTGTTCCCTTGTGTGTGATAGTCTGCGCGTGGTGCACGCTGGACGCCTGGTGGCCTGGGCTGCTGCGTGGCAGTGGTGGTGGGGCCCCCCCTGGACAGCCGCCGGTGGTGGCCTTGCAGGCCGAGGCGGCCTCGCGCGAGGCGGAGCGGGCCGCGCTGTGCGCTTGCAACCTCTCGGGCTGCCTGGCAGACGTGTCGCGGCTGCACGCGGAGGTCGCCTCGCTGGACTCAGAGCTGCTCGAGGTCCGCGCCCAGCAGGACCATCGCGTCTCGGACGCCGACTCCTTCTACGTAGATTCGATCGGACTGGTGTTGACGGGGATCCACCGCGTTCGACATGGCGTTGCTGCCACGTCTGCGGTTTTTCAGGTCGGAGGGGAGCGCCGCCGAGGCGGCAGAATTCTTCAATGAGTTGCTTCCAGGCCGCGTCGTCGCCTTTCACTACGACGACGACCGCGGCATCTGGCATTAGCGGGTGTTGATTTGGCCCGCCAGCGCGCAGCAACCCCCGACGAAGTGGACCATCGTGACCCCCGATGGCCGATGGCGACGTGTACGACGAGGAGATGGGCGCCGACGCGGACGGGCCGAACATGGCTTTGCTGACCTTCGGCGCTACGCCTGCTCGGCAACGTTCAGCTGGACGCGTGCATCGCTTCGACAGCTACCCCACCAAGGCTGAGCTGCTGGACATGGTGTGCGCCGCCAGGCGGGATGCTCGAGCTGCGGGCCTCGACGTGGCGGAGCCCCCGCTCTTCGTGCGTCGCGGCGACGTGCTGGGCGGCTCGTCGACGGTCAGCTTCGGCGGGGCCCTTGGCTTTTACCGTCGCCTCGGTCGCAAGGGCCCAGGGCGCCCGCCCACGGCCGCTGGCGCCGTGCCACCGCGGGGGCCGCCCCTCCCGCCGCTGGCGCCTGCGCCGCCTGGGCTGGGGGGCGAAGCCGACGACAGGGAGCTGTCGCCCGCGGAGGGCGCCGCCGCGCCGCCGCCCGGCCCCGTCGGCGCCCGCGTGCTGGTGAGCGCGAAGGCGCCGCCGCCTGGCATGACCTGGAATGCCAGCAAGGCAGTGGGGGCCGGGATCCAGCATGGCGACGAGATCTTGCCGATGCCTGGGGGCGTAGTCTGGGGCGAGAGCGGTTTCCGCGGCCTGCCCGCTGGTTTCGTCGCGCCCACGGAGCTGGCGCCTTCCGCCTCGGCCGCTCAGCAGCCAGGTCACGAGGGCGATGATGCCTGCCTCCTAGGGCCACTGACGAGGTCCCGCGAAGGCCGACGCCGTCGTGACTTCCGCGAGTCCGTGAGCCAGATGCGGCAGTGGACGCTCGACGACTTCCCTCTGTCTGGAGAGCGCGGCTACAAGTGGCCGCGCGAGTGCATCATCGAGCACGGCGGCGCCCCAGATGGCCGCCAGACAAGACCAAGTGGATGAGAGAGATGCACGAGGGACTCGGCGGCGGCCCACTTCCACGATCTCCTAGGGCTCTTGATCGAGCTCGCTCAGGTCGCCCGCGCGCGCCAGCTGGCGGGGGAGACCATGGGCAGCATAAAGACCGAGGGCGTCGAGCACTACATCGGGCGCTCGAAGCAGAGTGCTCGTCGCGGCGTTGCGGCGGCGCCAGGATTGGCAAAGTGCGCCACGGAGTCGTTGGCCAAGGAGACCGATATCCAGGGGCAACGGCGGAGGGCGAGGAGCAGAGCGCCTCCGCCGGCAAGAAGGGGCAGGGGTGACCTGGGCTCGGCGGGCGGGAGGTCGCTCGGCCCGTCCGCCGCCTTATGAGGGCCAGTTTTGTCGGCCTACCGCGGGCCCTTCCGCCGGTGGCGGGGCGCTGCCTCTTGCTGCCCTTGCTGAGCCAGCCCCTCCGTGACCTCCGCCCGTCTATAGAGAAGCGTGCTCGGGGCGCCATGGAGTGCCTCAACATGCTTGGGGGCTGCGACGCACCGCGGCGCACGCTGGGGCGCCTCTCCCAGATGGGTGGTCTTCAACTCCGACGCGTTCGCCGCCTTCATCGTCAGATGGAGGCCCCGACGGCCGCGTCGGCCCAGGAAGCTTGCTCAGAGCTTTTGGGCCGCCCGTGTCTGCATTGTGACGCGTTGACGATATGCCGCTGAGGCCACGTGTTCCACGCCTCGTGGGCTGGCCCCAACTTGGGAAAGAGTCCGGCTGGCTCGCCGACCGACTCGCGCCCGCAGACCGGCGCTCTCTCCTGGGCCTCGACCGCGCCTTGCTGCTGCCGCCAGCGAGCTTCGACGCAGTCGTGGAGAAGGGCGGGGGGCCTTCGTTGCCCAGAGGATCCCTGGATCCCGAAACGGGATCTGCTATGTAAAACATATGTTTTTATTATATCATCATCCATCGGGATCTGAAACATATGCATCAAAGAAAAAGGGATCTAACCTTAAACCACTAGCATATGTACACGCATACATTATATGTAGATTAGCTAGTTCCACCCGTAATAGCCAAACCGAACCTCATTCCTAGGATAAGGTGTGCGTCCATACGTGCTGCGCAGACGCTGGATTCCTTTTTATCCTTGTTTGCTGGAGGTCTTTTCACACGCCTACGTCTGAAGGTCTTTTCACACGCCTACGTCGGAGTTCTTACGCGCCTATAGGTCGGAATCCTTTCACGGGCCTGCGTCGGCCGTGGGATGTCGATCAGGTTTGCCACCTCAGCCCATCCCGTCCTGCTCGCAGCCGTTTTGGCTCGGGCTCTTGAGAGCTCGTTTTTGTTTACGACGTTTCTCATATCACCGCCGATTTCTGCGGCGATGGCCCCGCCTCGCGGACCAGACCAGAGGCGCCGCCTCACGGGCAAGACGTCCAGCCCGTTGCGCCCAGCGGCGCCCCCGACGCCCGAGCCCGACGACCCCCTAGCCAGCTGCTTCTTCGACTCGGATGACCCTCGTTCCTCGCGGTACGTGGGCAGGCAGCCTGAATTCACGCTCCGCGAAGGCGCGGGCGACGACGGCACGCAGTGGGACTCGGCCCCCGAACCGACGGAGCAGGCCAAGGCATCGACCGAGGAGCAGGACACAGCGAGGGCCATCCAGGCGTCTCTCGAGGAGGCCGAGCGCACGGGGAGGTACGCCGACTCCCCTCCTGACCCCACTGCCGCCCACTCCTGGGATCGCGGCGGCGATCAGACGATCGAGATCCCCGACAGCCCCGATCATGCATCGGCGGGGGCTGGCGCGGCAGGGGCCACCTCAGCAGGCTCGGGGTCTGGCGCAGCACAGGCCACCTCAGCAGGCTCGGCGGGCGGCGCAGCAAGTTCGGACTGTGCTGCTTGGCGCGTGAGCTCCGACTCGTGCCCCTGCGAGCCCGCCCCCGAGCTCGACTCCAAGACGCCCCCCCCCGCAGCCGGCGCCAGTTATGAGGACAGCGGGCAGCCGTCGACCATGCCGCCCGACCGCATGCCCAGCCCGCGTGCCTCGCCATTCAGGCCGTCCGCCGAGGGTTTCTTGCTCTTGCCGCC